TTGAGACAAAGTCTCACTCTGCTACCCAGGCTGGAGTGCAGTGGTGGCACAATCTTGGCTCACTGCAACCAGTGACTCCCAGGTTCAAGCAGTTCTCCTGCCTCTGCCTCCCACGTAGCTAGGACTACATGTGCCCAACACCATGGCTAATTTTTGTGTTTTTAGTAGAGATGGGGTTTCATCAAGTTGGCCAGGCTGGTCTCGAATTCCTAACCTCAGGTGATCCACCCGCTTCAGCGTCCCCAAGTACTGGGATGACAGGCGTGAGCCACCACACCCAGCCACACTCATAAGTTTTACATACCAAGTTTTCACACACACAAGTCGTTAACTATCCTAACAGCACTACTAGTTCTCTTCCCTCAAGATTTCCCTGTGTATAACCTGTTAACTTCTATATGCACCAGAACCTACTCTGTTCCAATGAGCTATCTATTCCTGCTGCAAAATCATTTGTTCCAATGAGCTATCTATTCCTGCTGCAAAATCACACTGGCTTCATTTACTAGAGTTTATAAAATACAATGGCATAAGCCCCTCATTCTATTTTCAAATTTTTCTTAGTCATTCTCATTTATTCTTCCAGTTCAAAGTCAGAATCAACTTGTAATGCTTCTTCATTTATTCATGTCCTTTGGAAAAGTTTCTGAGATTTTCCTCACATAGATTTCATAGATACTGTTTTTGGTTGTTCAGTTTATCCTTAAGTTGTTTCACTGCTATTAGAATTTGAACCATTTCTTTTTCTTTTTTGTTTCTGATAGACTCTCGCTCTGTCACCCAGGCTGGAGTGCTATGGTGAGATCTCAGCTCACTGCAACCTCAACCTCCCAGGTTCAAGTGATTCCCCTGACTCAGCCTCCTGAGTAGCTGGGATTACAGGCACCTGCCACCATGCCTGGCTAATTTTTGCATTTTTAGTAGACACGGGGTTTCACCATGTTGGCCAGGCTGGTCTCGAACTCCTGACCTCTTGATCCACCTGCCTAAGCCTCCCAAAGTGTGGGGATTACAGGCATGAGCCACCATACCAGGCTGAATTTGAACCATTTCATATCTTCCTATCACTACTATAGTTACTGACTTCTGTATGCTCATCTTGTATCTGGCCAGCAAACTGAACTCTTATTGCTGTAAGTGTTTTGGCTCTGATACTCTTAAGAGTTTCTCTGTAAGCAAATCTTTCTGCAAGAAATGACAGTTTTATCTTTCCATTAATAATTCATTTCTTACTTTATTCTATCAGCTAGGATTTCCAGTACAATGCTGAAACAGTAAAACAGTAACATTAAGAATCAATCTCACCATAGTCCAGATTTTAATGGAAATACTTTCAATGTTTCAGAATTAATTAGGATGAGTTTATTATACATTTCTGGTATATATGCATCTTTCTTTTTTGAGGCGGAGTGTCACTGGTTGCCCAGGATGGAGTGCAGTGGCATGCTCTTGCCTCAATGCAACCTACACCTCCCAGGTTCAAGCGATCCTCCTGCCTCAGCCTCCTGAGTAGCTGAGACTACAAGCACACATCACTATGCCCAGCTAATTTTTGTATTTTTAGTAGAGATGGGGTTTCACCATGTTGGCCAGGCTGGTCTCGAACTCCTGACCTCAGGTGATTTGCCCACCTGAGCCTCCTAAAGTACTACGATTGCAAGTGTGAGATACTGCACCCGATCTATACGCATCATATTAAAGAAGTTTTATCCTGCACTTAACTTGCTAGGACACTAAACAGTAATTAATGATTATTGAATTTTAGCTCCCATCTACAGAAATAATTGTATGTTTCTTCCTCAAACCTTCAATGTAATATACATTAGTAATTTCCTAATGATAAACTATGCTTGTGTTTTAGATATATTCAATATCTCTCTTTTTTTTTTTTTTTT